GTGACCTATCGTCACTATGGAATTGTTTAAGGTGACTTAGAAAAGGTCCCGACATCCTACCTACAAGTAGGACAGTGGATTCTTCCTATATGAGTGCCGCATCGTTCAATAAACTGTATAGCAAGTCAAACACATCTATGGCTAAGTAGAGCTCTGATGTCACCGAGTAAAAAATCTGTGAGCTTCTAGTCGACCCAATTGCAAGTGGTAATTTAGACAAGAAGAATCATGAGGCCACTTATATATTTATCATAATGACATGCATAGTTTGGATGTAAATTTATGAGATTATTCTACATTATATTTTGTAACGGTATAGGTAAGTAATTTAGATACAGATCTAAGGGTTACTTTATGTTTTTTGTTTCCATAAAGATAGAGGTGGGTAATTTCTACCAAGGCATGGATGTATTAGTGTACCTTAAGCCTTGTCTATATCAACTTAACATGGGTGCTCATATTTTTCTAGATTTATTTCAGGATTTACGATGCTATTCTTTCAACAGTAGCCAATGTATCCGTCGACGATATGACGACATTGTAAATCTTGAGATCAATCGACCGAGACAGTTTTTGGAGGTACTCCAAGGTGTGTGCACGTGTATTCATAGGAACGTGTATACACCTATTTAAGTGTATGTGTATGTAAGGGCCAAGCTACATAGGAATTAAATGCGCCTATAAAGAAAGTGAAAACGGTGATTAATGCTATTTTCACCATATATGCCACCCCTATAGTACAATTATATGCATCCATGAGCTAAATGCACCCCTTTCCAATTTGCTCTAGTTTCACCACTGTATGTTTATACTGTGTTTCGCAAAGAAATAGAAACATCTACTCAAGATTTGAGCGCTCATCTCATTCACCGCTGAAACAGAATAAAGCATGCAGCACTCATGGTAACACACTTACATTTGAGACATGGTACACTGGTAAACCTTAATAAAAGCATGGCACAACTGATTTTGACCATATAGGGGTGTATCAGTCCTGGTATCGGATTTGGACAATTTCAGGTGTACCTAAGTGCAAGGGGATTCAGGGATTCAACAGGAGGCAGGCGGAGGCGGTGGGTACCGCGGTACATAAGGAAGAACCGGAGTCCCGTGCTCAATCGGACCTGGCCTGATTGTGGCTTTGGAGCTTGGGCTCGGATCAACAGGTTGGTAGTCGTCCGTCCTAATATTTTGCAGGCCCCTTGTCTTTCGGATGGTAAAAGTATATGGTTCCTGAAAAATGATACATGGAAAGTCACTTATAAGAACTGTCGTTGATGGAAATAGCCGTGTCTAGCTAAAAAGATACTATAAAAAAGAATTACTGGTAAGGCAACACTAGCCACTGAGATAATATATTCCAGCTATGTATTATCTTCTGGCCTTGTATATGCTTGTGCCGATGCGTGCGATATATGTTGTTCGAGAGCACACACCTTTAGTTTCCTGCCGTTTAGCTTAATGCTTCCATGTCCTGGATCTACAATGAATTCAACTAAATGTCAGCAATAGGCCGATATATATAGTACTCGCTAAATATAATCTCACTAATTGCTCAATAAAAAGATGCTTGTAGAAAAACAGATTAATCAATCAGAAATACCATGCCCACAACTGTCAGAAGTACGTGGATAGTGAAACGGGTGTACCAGGTAGAGTACTCTCTCAATAGGATGTGCACGTATTTCTAGGATTAAAAATCCTTAATCGTTGATCAATAGGTAGCCAAATAATTCATAAATTACACTATACAGATTTAGTGCGATTGGATTTGATTTGACGTCAATTTCGTGGTCATGACAACATAATACATGAGGTATTAATGGTTAAGGTGTACTAGGATTGAAAACTGCACTGGGCCAAATCGCATCCTACTTTTTGAAAAGACGGGCAGTCGGGCACCAAGTCTTTTATTTCGTGCATATATACATGGAAGTTTGATGTTCACAAAAAAAAACATGGAAGTTTGCTACATATTGTTTGCTCAGTTAATAGAAATTGATAAGTGAATTCTTGAGGCAATTAAATTACTACGTAGTACATGTATATGGGCGTGTACTATGATTTGTATAAAAAAAATACTACAGGGTTCATGGAGGTAACTTTTGGTGACCTTTTCCAGTGGTGGTATTCTTGCTTGAAGAGAAAACCACTCAAAAGAGAAGGAAAGAACTAGCCTTCACATTATCTTGCCGAGCTATCAATATCAGCCGATGATTGGTCATCGTCTTCTTCTTTTCTTTTTAGTTCTGAGTACAATATCGGATCTCATTTAAAATTTCAGCATGATATCGTGAACGCAGGACGAGATAATTGCTCAAGCTACAAGCCTAGCTAGAACTGTCACTCTTTTTTTTTTTTGAACCATAGAACTGCCACTCTTGGCTCCAGAGAACTGATGAGAAGAAGAAAGAGAACAGGAGGCGCACGAACAAACTGATAAGGGGGAAAAACAGGAAAATTGCCTGACCGGAGACAGATGATCTGTTGCATGTACGTGTACCTGTGGAGTTCTTGGCGCTTCTTGCGTTATAGGCGATGCCCATGAGAAGATTTCCTCCAACAAATGAGAATATCAGCAAAATCAGCACAGAGGGACGCTTCATCTCCTACCGCTGCTCAACTGCTCAAGCACAATCCTTGCAAATGCTTCTACGGCTGTGCTTCGTTTCCTTTGGCTTCCAGCAGCTCCTCTTCTTAAGATAGGGACATGTCCATGCGTGATGCAACTCCATTCGCATTACTGCTAGATGTCAGCATGCGGGTTTAAAAAATGATGTGATAAGACCAGAATTTATGTCATCGTCAACGACGAGGAGCTGCAGAAAAATGGCCGGGGAAAGCGAGGAAGGTGGCCTCCATGCATTCCACCCTCGCCCGGCACTTGCTCGCATTGATGGCCATGCAGTTGCAGCCTGCACGTGTCACTTTGGTCCATTAATTTTAAAAGTATATTTTTTGTCTAAAATCTTATTAAGTGGTATATAAATAGTCTATACCTTTCGTTTAGCGAATAGATCTGACGTGGCAGGCCATGTCATCACCAGCGTGGCGCCTGTGTAACGTGAGGGCACCATATCCGATCCCCACCCCCCGGAGGAAGCGAGGACGACGCCGTACGCGGTGGTGAAGACGGCAGACGCCCTGCGCTCACGCAACGAGCCAGCAAGGAGCGCAGCAGATAGGGCGACCGTGTCGTGGGCTTCGGCTGGACTAGGTTGTGGCCGTCTATGGCCCAGCAGTCACCAACCTAGGTTATCTCGAGCACGCCGGCACGCCGCGGTGGCGGCGGCACCACGTGGCCCGCCGGCAATGGCAAGCAGTGGAACGCCGACAACTTCAAGGCCACGTTCCAGGAGTCTTCGAGGAGGACATGGAGATGACGGAGGCAGGGGAGGAGGAGGTGGACAGCACGCCCGCCTTCGTCTTCCACGCCTCGTCCTCGGCGACGGAGACCAAGCCCCGAGCGTGCCAGGAGCAGCAGTAGGCCATGCCAAGCTGGCGCCGAATGCCCGCGCAGGCGCAGGGCCGTCGGCCGAGATCCATGACCTCGTCAAGGGCGTCTACGTCTGCCTCGGCACCTTCCCCTCCGCCGAGGCCGCTGCACTCGCCTATGACACCGAGCGCGACATCCGCATGGCCCAGGGCACGAGGCTGCCGAAGAAGCAACTGGCGAGAGCTCGGGCTCCGGTGCTCTCCTGACGTGTCGGCGTACGACGAGGCCCCCGCTCGTCGCTGCATGCGCTGCGCCACAATCCATTGCAGGCTCTGCTCGGCGCTCACCACCTGCCGGCGACCCGCCTCGCCCCGTGGCCGCGGCCCCCTCGCTGTTGCCGCGCCGGCCAGCGGATCCTGCGCCAACCGGCAACCGCCTCTTTTACCGGGCGTGCTCTGCTCCAGACCGAGACGCGCCACCGACGCAAATCCGCCGCCGCCGTGCCCGTTCCCGGCCGTCCCGAGCCAGACTGAGCAGCGCAACAGCTTCCTCTTCCCCCTCCGCCCCTCCTTGCACAGTTTCCTGGTCGGATCCGGCTAGAATCGCCGCCGCCCCGGCTGTCTCCTTTGGCTCTGGCGAGCTTCCCGCCGTCCGCTGCTTCCCGCCGTCGCTCGAGAGCTCTGTAAGCACCGCCTTCTCCCGGTGAAGCTTATGCGCACGCTAGCCCGAGACCTCTGTCCGCTGCTTCCCCGATGCAACACACGCCGTGCTCGCGCTGCCCACGTCACGTGCTGCCGCCGAGCGCGTCGTCTCCCCGTGTCCTCGCGTCGCCTCCCCGTGTCCTCGCGCACCCTCGCCGCGCCTTGTGCGTGCACCCTCGCCGCTAACCTGCGCTGCCGTTCCGCTCGCCGCAGCCCCACGCGCTGCCGCAGCACCCAGACGTGACCTCCTGTCCACTTCAGCAGCCAGGTGTCCACTTCAGCGGCCAGGTGTATTGTCCACGTCAGATCTATTCGCGAAATGAAAGGGTATGGACTATTTATGCACCACTTAACAAGCTTTTGGATCCAAAAATACACTTTTAAAGTTGATGGACCAAAGTGATACAAACGAACAAGTTGATAGACTAATGGTGCATTTTACTCCCTGGGATATTATACAGAAATTCATGTAGAAAGGAGGACACTTCTTGCCCTCAAAAGGGGGGCACACTTCTTACTCCTTGTTGTGATATTATATATTATATAAAAACTGCTCAGACATAAGACGGTTGCACAAAAATGAAAATCCGCACGGACTAGTATGGGGTATGGTTTGGTAGATAGAGAAAGCATCAGACATCAGACTAGGGCATAGACAGAGTACAAATATCAAGAGACATGTTCAAATCTTTTACTACCAACGGTCCAACGCCAAAGGATACAGAAGCATATGGACGCCCTGCTATGTCAGCACGGAGTCCTGAATTCTCTTTCTTATCTCCCTGGTATTGCTCAAGTGCTCATCAATTGGTGGTATAGAAATCATCTATGGGGTAGAAAGTTCAAGCGATTTCTTGGCCATGTCATCGGTTTGGCATGATGTCGATGTTGCCTTCTAGATCACACGAGCGCTCAGGGCAATCAAGCTTACCCCATCGTGCAGTTACTCTTTGGCAGGGAAATATTGGCTTCCCTAGGCTGCAAGAAAAAACACAGACCAATCAGATAGGAAACACATAAGAACAGGTTCATCAGGGGATTCCAGAAGCTCAAGATTCTGCAAATCATGGTATCAGGATGGAAACATCTACACTTAAAACATAGACATACCCCTTATTGTAGCAGTAAAAGGGTGTGCCTCAGTTTTCCTCTTTTTGGCCCTGAGACCTTAATTTTCCTATGATTCTACATAAACAGGTTCAACGCTACAATGCCTTGGAAGATTTCAAAGGCAACAATAAGCAACTGCACAAAGCTGAGTATATATGGACTCACCTTCGATTAACCACGTTGTGCACATAACATAACCACTGGGAGAATTCAGCTTGAGATCCTGCCTGCACAGGATTTGCTCTACAAAAATACAACACAGTCAAGTCAGTTTAGTGTACGGCAATTATTTCTATCACTGAACTGTAATATATTTAGCTTGATGAATGAGATGGCTGTCCTCTACATAAACCTTCAGATAACCAAAAATAAGATAAAATAACACACAACTCAGCCATGTTTTCATATCAGATATTCACAACATGGACCTTCATATCATAAATATAAACACCAATGGTCACTGTGATTCATTGTTATATTCAAGTCATTTATAGATATAAGAGCACGTAAGAATGTAATCATCATGTGCATCATATGGACAAAAACTGTGTAAACACAGAATGAATAGGTGTATTGTGTACAAGCCAAATCCATGACTTTAGAGCACCAGAACTAAGATTGAGGCACAGATTTCATATTCCAGAAAGTAGCAAGAGTTTGCCGCTATTATGTGATATTTTTAGATCATATTATAAAGCAGCAAACTGTCAAGGGTACCAAGTGACCACTTCATAGAGAGAATAAACTTGTAAGTTGTAACACAAAGAAATATCAAGGAATCAAGCTATTAAAATGGATATTACTAGCATTTATCCAAGTTGTTGGTGAGCAATGCTTACTTCAAAACTTCCTTGAAGTGATCAGCACATTCTTTGCAAGGATATAGTCTCGAGATTATATGCATCTGAGCATGTGACCAGCAGTAATGTTATTTTTCCTGTGCATATCAAGCAATCAAAGAACAAAAACATTGCGACATAGAGAAGGTAGAAACTTTTCTGGGGGTGGGTGGGTTGTGTGTGTGTGTGTGGTGGGTGGGGGGGTACATGTTTCCATTTGTTTTGTGAACATGCTAATGTCTAATTACTCTGGTGATCCTGTCCCTCCTAAAACATGTTTTCAGTTTACTATTCCTGACGGATTTAGTGGTCATCTGGTAATATATAGCTTATGATCTTTTATTTCTAAATGTGCCATCAGAATCATGCTAAACCATGTGCGCCCCACGCTAATCTGCCTAAGTTGGGAATGAAGAAAGAGATCATAAAGGATTAGAGTCTCACCCTTGGAGGATTTTATAAATGTACTCAGATCATGAAACCCATTATCTGTAATTTTCAGGATGTAGCTAGCAGCATTTCCAAATTTACAAATTGTGATATCTAGTACTTGACCAATACAGTAAATTACAGTTGCAGCAAGTCTTTAAACCTCTTCACAACAGCGGCTTTGGTTTCCCAAGTCCCAAGTACTCACATTCTAAACAAAGTTAATAGGGTTGTCTCTCGTGCTTACCAATTCCTTCGCATCCCGTTTTTGCTGCCTCGTGGGTTCGTCAGGGAACTGAAAGCAAGTCACATAGTTGATCATTCTAAGTAATTCAAATACAAAAAATAAAATAAAATAAATCTCATTCCCTGCCCACAAGTGTACTAATCAATCTAAGTAAATGTGATATGATACATGGATAACATTTTTGCTCTCCATCTAGGCTTGCATTATGATCATTCTATAACGTGAGCTAGTATAATAGCATTGGCAGATTAGGCAAATGCTAAGCTAGTTTTGTGCTTCGGTGTGCTACTCAGCAATAGATCGAGCACCTGCGCTGCGATGGTGTGAAGCAGCATCCACGTGGCCCGGCCGACCTCCTCCTTCGTCAGGGGCCCCTCCTTGGCATCCTTATCCTTCTGCGCATTCACTCGAAACCCTCACGAATCACCTCCCCATCAAACCAAACCAAACAGAAGGCGACATCGGCGCGAGTACGGAGAAAACACGACTTGCCTTCAGGACCTCCGGCCGCGGTGGTGCCGGCGAAGGCGGGGACAGGGAGAGCGCTAGGAGGGGGCGGAGGCGGTGGTCGTCGGGGCCGGCGTCGGGGGCGATGAGGATGTGGCGGGAGAAGGCGGCGACGGTCTGGAGGACGGGTGCCAGCGGGTTCCAGCCCAGCAGTGGCATCGAGGTGATAGCCCGCCGGCTCGCGTGCGTGTGGCGCACCGCGGTTGCAAGCGCAATCGTGCGAAAAGGCGGTGGATGGATGGATGGGGTGGGGTGGGGTGGGGTGCACGCGGCGACGCCGGCCGAGGCGGGGTGCGAAGCAGGGGAGGGGAGCAAGGAAGCACGGTAAATTCGATGGGAAAAAATTCGTGAGTACCGTACTAATCTTGGTTCCGATTAGTTTGCGACTAAAATTTGCCAAGCCAAAGCTATGTAAAAAAAATTGTTATGAATTTGACAAGTTAAATGTGAGAAGTTGACAAATTTTGATAACCAACCAAGAAATAGTTAAAACATGGTTTGTCAAATCTTTGGTTTAGCAAATTTTAGAGGACCACGTCCAATATGCGAAAGGCAGTGGATGGGTTGCGCGGCAAAATCCAGTGGGCTGCACCGCTGCACGGCAAAATCGGTGGATTGCAGGCGAAGTCCAGTGGACGATTCTAAGGGGGTTTTGCGGTGGGCCGTGCCGGGGGCTTGGTCTCGTCAGTTCCAGATTTCGGTGATCGGATTATTATGTGCACGGTCTAGAGTTCACATGACGGCCTACCGCGACGCCCATCAAAAGTCATGAGCAGATCCAAAGTCTCCTCACGCAAATAACATCCAAATTAATTTAGGCAAGACTATATGCAAGGAGGTTCTTAAAACAACTCTACAGTCTGCAATTTTGTATCTCTATCTAAAGATAAGTATTTCTTACATCTTCAATAAGGCTCTATAAATGACAAATATGTGTGTGGGTTTTGGTTTGCTACCTGTTCGTCGGATGCTACCGTGGTTTTCACCTGTTTTTTTTTTTTCAGTTTTACGCCTCGTTCGGTTATCTAGAATTGATTCCCAGCCAAACATTTTCCTTCACTAATTTATACTAGAGAGGAACAGCTCCAGACCGAGAATGGCCCGTTCCAGAACAACCAAATGAGGCCTTAGAAACTATTTGACAAATGTAAAAATAAGTCTCTCCCTGTTCATTTTATTCAATTAGCATAATTATTGATTTACCAAGAACTTCGAAAATAATTCTAAAAAAAACTTCAAAAATACTTTTGAAGAGGCATTGAGTTGAGGTAGAAATACCTTGCCAAAAAGTTCATGCTGACGCCAGAGACTTCCTGGAGGATTATTCTAATCTCCTCCAGATCAAACATTATGAGCAGCAGCAACCTTAAACTTTCTGTTCAATGGACTAATGTAGGCATCTTGCTCTCGTAAAGTGGCAAACGTTGTTCCATCCTTCCCTTCCATGGTGTAAACACTAGTACTATCTCTCTATCTTTCTCATCTTCTTTGCGCGCGGTGAGTTCGTGACAACTCGTCGCATGATACGATAATGCAGTCAGACAGCGAGGTGCGGGCCAATGCGAAGCCGGGGCCCGGGGACCATGCGGCCGTGATTTTTTTTTATTTCTAACACATTTTTTAAAATAATTTTAAAATTAACACTGTTTTATTTTATTTTTTAAATCTAACACTTTTGGTCGTGTCTATTCGTACAACGCGGCGAATTAACGCTGCCGCGCCATGCATGGGGGCGCGGCGAGGCTGCCCACGTGGCAGCGACCAGAGCCGCTGACCAATGACGTGGCCGGCTCTGCCGCGCCACCGCTCAGGGCGCGGCGGTGAGGCGTCACGCATCATGGCGCGGCAGTGACGCGCCACTCGTCAGGGCGCGGCAGAGCCTAATATAGGCCCGCGGACCAGTCTCTTTTCTCCCTATCTATTTCAGTCGGAAGCTTCGGGGAAGGTAGGGAGGGGAACGCCAAGGGAGGGAAATTCGGTGGCCGACCGTGGGGGAGCCGGGAGGCAATGGCGCGGCGGTGCAGGCGGGGAGGCGCGTCGGCCGGCGGGGGCAGGACGGCACGGAGGCTGCTGCTGTGCCCTAGCGACTGAAACAGACAGGGAGAAAAGGGAATGGACCGCGGGACTATATTCGGCTCTGCCGCGCCCTGGCGAGTGGCGCGTCACCGCCGCGCCATGATGCGTGGCGTGTCACCGCCGCGCCTTGATCGGTGGCGCGGCAAAGCCGGCCACGTCACCGGTCAGCGGCCTTGGTCGCTGCCACGTGGGCAGCCTCGTCGCGCCCCATGCATGGCGCGACAGCGTTAATTCGCCGAGCCGTGCGAATAGGCGCGACCAAAAGTGTTAGATTTGAAAAAAAAAACAATATTAGTTTTAAAATTAGTTTACAAAATGTGTTAAAAATAAAAAAATTCACGGCCGGAAAGCGGCGTGGCTGTGGCGGTGTGGCGTCGTGCCTCCGTCGCAAGGCCGAAACAGCAAGGTCCCAGTCGATGGATTCGGCGCGGCGGCCGGGGCTACCACTACTAGAGAACAGACTTTAGAACGATGTCCCAATTTGGTATTAGCCTCGGTGTTTTTTGCCGCCGAGACTAAAGGACCCTTTAGTCCCGGTTTCGTAATACCAACCGGGACTAAAGGTCCCTGCCCAACGGTCGTCCGAGTGGCAGGGATCTTTAGTCCCGGCTGGTATTACCAACCGGGACTATCTTTAGTCCCGTTGGTAATACCAAATGGGACTAAAGGTTTTAGTCCCGGTTTGGCCACCTAACCGAAACTAATTATGCGGGCCTATACAACGGCTCATTTCTTCCTTCCCGAGCCCGAGCCATTCCATTCAAACTCACTGCCTCTCGTTCTTGACTTTTTGTTGTTCTTGCTCTCTCCCCTCCATTGGTGTTGCTCTTCGATTTTCGAGGTAACAAACTTAATCCTCTTATGTTTTATCAAGAGCTTATCTCATTTTGCGATGTAGATGCATGTGTAACTTTATATGTTGGACTTTATTATGATTTTATATGTCATTTTAGCTCAAAATCACATGATGATTTGCATATATGTTTGGATAAACAAAAGTTAAATTAGTTCATCAAAATCACGCCTCGCTCGTCCCCTCATTTGGAGCACGCGTCATCCTCGCCCCCGCGGCTTACGTGATCTTAGAATTAATTTTTCCATGAAATGAAAAACTTAGAAAATAGTTAGAAAATTGTAGAAAATCCGCACTAGTTGAACTTGCGGACCGTGATCATCTCGGCGAGCATTTTCTCTGCCGAAGCGGTAACGGACGTCAAGGAGGAGCTTTGATTCTCTGAGGGAGAGCGGCAACGGTCGTGGAAGACCGTGTTCCTTCCTCGTAGAATCGAGAGCTCTTCCTTAGCCAAGCACGCAGTGCCGTCCGGTGGAGAAATGCTCACGAGATGATCACGTAAGTAAGGTCAACTAGTACGGATGGTTATTTATTGAAACATATTTTTGAGCTATGTGATTTCTATGTCATTTTAGCTCAAAATCACTTGATGATTTGCATATATGTTTCGATAAACAAAAGTTAAATTAGTTCATCAAAATCACGCCTCGCTTTCGTCCTCGGCTGGAGCACGCGCCATCCATCCTCGTCCCAGCCGACTTACGTGATCTTAGAATTAATTTTTCCATGAAATGAAAAACTTAGAAAATTGTTAGAAAATTGTAGAAAATCCGTACTAGTTGAACTTGCGGACCGTGATCATCTCGGCGAGTATTTTCTCTGCCGAAGCGGTAACGGACGTCAAGGAGGAGCTTTGATTCTCTGAGGAGAGGCGGCAACGGTCGTGGAAGACCGTGTTCTCTTCCTCGTAGAATCGGAGCTGTTCCTTGCCCAAGTATGGTGCCGCCCGAAGGAGAAATGCTCGCGAGATGATCACGTAAGCAAGGTCAACTAGTATGCGGATGGTTATTTATTGAAACATGTTTTTGAGCTATGTGATTTCTATGTCATTTTAGCTCAAAATCATATGATGATTTGCATATATGTTTGGATAAACAAAAGTTAAATTAGTTCATCAAAATCACGCCTCGCTTCGTCCTCGCTTTGGAGCATGCGCCATCCTCGCCCCCCCGGCGGCTTACGTGATCTTAGAATTAATTTTTCCATGAAATGAAAAAACTTAGAAAATAGTTAGAAAATTGTAAAAAAAAAATCCGTCTCGGTTGAACTTGCGGACCGTGATCATCTCGGCGAGCATTTTCTCTGCCGAGCGGTAACGAACGTCAAGGAGGAGCTTTGATTCTACGAGGGAGAGCGGCAACGGTCGTGGAAGACCGCGTTCCCTTTCTCGTAGAATCGGAGCTCTTCCTTGGCTGGCACGGTGCCGTCCGGTGGAGAAATGCTCGCCGAGATGATCACGTAAGCAATGTCAACTAGTACGGATGGTTATTTATTGAAACATGTTTTTGAGCTATGTGATTTCTATGTCATTTTTAGTTCAAAATCACATTATGATTTACAATAGTAAAATCACTTGATAGTTTGGTATTTTACTATTATACATAGTACATATTTCATGGTTTAGTTAGATAAATAAATAATTTTAGTTTTGTTTAAATATATTATTTTAGAAAATATGAAATTTACAGTAGTTTGCAAAAATAAGTATAGAAAGTAGATGACAACTGGTACCGGATCCTTGGCCTCTCGCTCGGTTGCGAACGATCGAGGCCGAACTCCTCTCATTATCTCATGATAAGTGTAAGCGTAAGGTTGTGATGGAGTACCGAAGTCAAGAGACGAGGACCCAACAAGGGTCGTGTTTTCTACAAGTGCCCGATCGCTGATGTGTGAGTTTCTTACGCATTTGATTATTATGGCTAATTGACCTGCTTTTCTTGAATATTTTGATTAAATATTTTTGGCTTTAATTTCAGTGGGAAGGCAATGGATGCGATGGTTGGTACCGGGAGGAAGATTATGCTACCTACGTGCGAGAATTCTTAACGCTGGCGATGAGGCGATGAGCCAAATAGGAGAAGCTTTATTGATATTCAACGTAAGAATAATTTGTCTGCTTTTTAGTTATGTATTTATCATGAAATAATTATGTTACTGAAGTGCATTGTAATTTTAGTTTGTTTAGTGATAGTTGGGATTGCTTACGTTATAGCCAGGCTTAGTTAATTAA